ATCATTTGTATACTGACTTCCACCAGTTGTTCTGGGCCGTCCTGGTTCAGGCTGTAGCACGTTCCTGAAGGTACTCTCCAATCAGACCTCAGAGTATCACGCTGTCGAAGGTGAAGTGTGTTATGACTCCTTCACCCCTGAGGAAATAGCCAAGCAATATCGGGGCGATGTCATCTACTGTCCTGAAGATGATGTTCATTTTCCGACCCTCACAGTTGAGCAGACATTGTCCTTCGCAATCAAGACCCGCACGCCCCATGCGCGGTTCACCGATCAGACCCGCGAGCAGTTTAATCGCGATGTCGTCGACATCCTAATCAGAATCTTCGGACTGCACCACGCACGTAATACCGTTGTTGGGAACGCCGCTATACGAGGCGTATCAGGTGGAGAGAAGAAGCGTGTTTCTATCGCAGAGGCTCTGTCATGCAGAAGCTTGATCAGCTCCTGGGACAAGTTTGTTACATATTGATTCATTGTCTGTGATGAGCGCTCATGACTTGTAGCTCCACCCGTGGTCTGGATTCTTCGACAGCGTTGGAGTTCATCCAGGCACTTCGCATTGGTACCGATATTGGTCGGATTACGACAGTCGTCTCTCTTTACCAAGCCGGTGAACAGTTATATAACTTGTTTGACAAGGTATGCGTAATATCCGAAGGCCGGATGGTCTATTTTGGGGCTGCAAAGGAGGCGCGCCAATATTTTGTAGATATGGGATATGAGCCATACCACCGACAAACGACGTCTGATTTTCTTGTTTCCGGTACGTATTGGCATAATGGTCCTTATCATAATCTAAGATTTCTCAGTCACGGATCCAAATGCGAGAAACTTCCGGGCTGATGTCGAAGGACCAATACCTAGAACGGCCGAGGAGATGGCAGCTTACTTCCTCGCATCTCCGCTAGGGCAAGCAAACCGTCAATCGATTGATCATTATCGCGATCACCACGTGGGCAAACCCGAACGCAGGGAGGCATACAGAGTTAGTGCGGTGATGGAGCATGCGCATCATGCGCCTAAGAGTAACTCTTATACGATATCAATCCCGATGCAAGTCAGGGCAGTAATGGTCCGCCGGGTTCAGATAATAAAGGGCGATGTCGCGTCCCAAGTGGTGCAACTCGTGTGCGTACCAATTATATACTCATTGTCGATATAACATGTTGATGGCCTCCCAGTGCACAAATATTCCAAGCCATCGTGATGGGCACCGTCTTCTATCACCTCCCTGACGCAACTTCTGGTTATTTCTCTCGCGGGGGCATCTTATTTTTGTTTGTCCTTCTGCATCCTTCTGCTCCCGATGTTTCTAATCAGTTTACAGTGCATTGTTTTTTGGCGCCTTGTCCGCTATGGCAGAGATACCCGCTCTCTATGCTCAACGTCCCATAGTTCTCCGTCACCACAAAGCAGCGATGTATTATCCTTTCATCGAAAGTCTGGCTCACACGGTCGTCGACATACCAATTACGTTCGTCATCCAAGGCATTTTCTCTGTACTTCTGTACTTCTTGGTCGACCTTCAGAGGACAGCAGCGCAGTTCTTGTCAGTGATTTCCTGTCTACAAGTCTACGGTACAGATCTGATATACCTTTCTGATAGCATATTCTTCTTGATAGTATTCACAATGACGACCGCGATGAAAGGATTTTTCCGGCTGGTCGCTGCTGCTTTCAAAGAAGAGTCTAGTGCTACATCAGTAGCTGGCATTGGTGTTTTAGTCTTCTCGCTGTACACTGGTTATACTATTCCTCGGCTCAGCATCCCGGCCGCCCTGCGCTGGATCACTTACTTGAATGTAAGATGCCGTTTTTTTTTCGAGTGCCATGCTGAAACATCTTTTCAGCCTCTCGGGTACGGTTTTGAATCGTTGATGATGAACGAATTCCACACTTTGAACGGGACATGCTCCACCTTAGTCCCTCAGGGTCCTGGATATGAAAATGTATCGCTGGCTAATCAGGTTTGCACCACAGTCGGAGCTCAGCCTGGAATGCCAACTGTCGACGGTAACGCCTTCACCTACCTATCTTATGATTACAAGTACAGCGATCTTTGGCGCGTAGGTCCCAATTTTATTTTCCGATGTGAGTCACGACAGCTTAAATTATTTTCTATCAGAATTACGGTGTTATCTGTGCATTCGGTGTCGGTTTCCTTCTGATGTTGCTCTTCGCAACCGAATTCAACACGGGATCTGCATTTGATTCTGCTGTCACTCTTTTCAAACAGTCAAAAGGCGCAGGATCTGTTGGACCCGCCAATGTACGAAGAGATGCGGAAAAAGCGGGACCATCGGCACCTGATGAAGACGAGGAAAAAGCGGGACCATCAGCACCTGATGAAGACACGAAAAAGCAAAGAAGAGTATCTGATGGAAAGAAGAAACATGCGCCGCCAGATATCTTTACGTGGCACCATGTGCAGTACGTCGTACCAATTTCAGGTGGACCAGAGAGGAAGTTGTTAGACGATGTCTCTGGTTATGTCGCACCTGGAAAGCTTACCGCCCTCATGGGTGAATCGGGTGCGGGGAAGGTTGGCGTCATCTTACTGCTCAACCTCGCTGTAGACTGACAAGACCGTGGTAGACTACTCTGCTCAATGTCCTTGCCCAGCGTGTCGACGTTGGTGTTGTCTTAGGCGATCGTTTTATCAACGGACAACCGCTCCCTGCAGATTTCCAAGCACAAACGTAAGTACAAGTCGAACAGTCGGTGGGCAACACTAAAAACTAGTTCAGGGGATATTGTCAACAGATGGATACCCATCTGCCCCAAGCCACTGTTAGGGAAGCTATTCTTTCCTCAGCTCATCTTAGACAATCGGAATTTGTCCCTATGGAGGAGATTCGAGCCCAGTGTGTCCTCTTTTACATCGTGCCATTGACAGTTCCGACTGATATTATTCAGCGTTGACAAGTGCGTTCAAATGTGCGGCCTCGAAGCCTATGCAGACGCAGTTGTAGGCACGTTGGGCGTTGAACATAAAAAGCGCACGACAATAGCTGTTGAACTGGCCGCGAAGGTATTTACGTCTTTGAAGGTTTTGCATCCTCTTAGAACTTAACGTGCCAACAGCCCAAACTTCTTCTTTTCCTTGATGAACCTACATCTGGTCTCGATTCTCAATCAGCTTGGGCCATCATAACATTCCTCCGTGAGCTCGCCGATAGTGGACAAGCCATCTTGTGCACGTGAGTCTTGTATATGTCTGATAGCGTCCGCAATCTGAACTTGATTAGCATTCACCAACCTTCCGGGGAGCTTTTCCAATTGTTTGACAGACTTCTCCTCCTTCGCAAGGGCGGCCAAACCGTTTATTTTGGTGAAATTGGGGAAAGGTCTTCTACGATGTTGAAATATTTTGAGCGTAATGGAGCTTCACCCTGTGATGAGGATGCCAACCCGTAAGTCCTTTGTTGGTTCAGGCATTCATGAAATTGAGCTATGGCAGTGCGGAATATATGCTTGATGTCATTGGCGCTGGAGCGACCGCGAACACATCTGTTGATTGGCATAATGTCTGGCGAATTTCGCCGGAAGCTGCTGCCCTTGAAGATGAGCTTGGACGCATTCACACTGAAGGTCGATCTCGTCCTGTTGTTCAGACAGAACTACGCACACAGTTTGCTACTTCATGGAAGCACCAGACCATTGCTCTTACACAGCGCAACTTCCAAGCATATTGGCGGAATCCAACCTACTTGATGGGAAAGCTCGTTCTCAACATCGCTGGTGGTCTATTGATTGGTTTTACATTCTACAAGACGAAAGATTCCCTCCAGGGTACACAGAACAAACTCTTTGTACGACTTCAGACATTTGATGAAGTGGCTTTGTTGGCTAATTGGTCTCATAGTCCATTTTCTTGGCCACGATTTTGTGTGTCCCCCTTTCTCAACAGATGCAGGCGGTCTACATCGACATTCGGTCGATTTACGAAGTCCGGGAGCGCCAGAGCAGGATGTACAAATGGACTGCTCTCGTCACCTCTCAAATCCTCGTCGAGATACCTTGGAACATTTTATGCTCGTCGATCTTCTTTGTTTGTTGGTACTGGTCAGTCGGATTCTACAACGACCGGGCCGGATACACCTACCTGATGTATGGAGTCATATTCCCGCTCTATTACACGACGATCGCACTCGCAATAGCTTCAATGGCTCCAACTGCATTTATTGCTTCATTGTTGTTCAGCACGCTCTTCGCATTTGTGGTCATATTGTAAGTCAAATTTCTTAGCTGATAACATCGCTGCTTACTGATTTATGGTCTAGTAACGGTGTCCTGCAGCCATTCAGTGCGTTGGGTTGGTGGCGGTGGATGTATAGGGTGTCGCCTTTCACCTATCTCGTTGAAGGCCTTTTCGGTCAAGGTTTGTGCTTAGGTTTTGGCTTCGGTACTGAGCTTAACCTGTTCTTAGCGGTCAGCGGACAGGCGATTGTTTGCGCGTCGACGGAACTTGTTCCAATTGTTCCTCCCTCAGGACTCACGTGTGCTGATTACATGGATCCTTTCATGTCTTACGCGGGCGGATATCTAGCGAACCCCAATGCGACATCGAACTGCCAGTACTGTCCGTTCCAGACGACGGACGAGTACATGTATACTGGGTTCAATATCGAGTATTCCCACCGCTGGCGTGACGTTGGTATCATGCTTGGTGTCACTTTGTTTAATGTGAGTTGCGTCCCTTGATACTCACTCTGGGTGTTCACGAAAGAATCTACTTTCCAAGGTCGCTGCAATTTTCACTCTCACCTACGTATTCCGCATTCGGAAGGGTAATATTTTACCTGTGCTCAAGCGCAAGTCGTAATACAAGAATTATGTAGAATGAAATGTTGGGGCATATGAATGATACCATGACATTAACGGTATGTACGTATGTATATAGTCCGTGCACTGTGTTCTACCCCTTGTTGTAATTGAAAAATGTATCAACTTGGGCCCCTCGCGTTCTGAAGTGTAATCCTATCCGTAGACACTCACTACACCGAAGTACCAATCACACCCTCTTCATATATTGCGTCGTCGAACTTCAACAGGGAAGAATCACCTCTCCTGCGATATGGACCCAAGGAGATATCGTTTTCCTGTGGCAATGTCTTCTTGCCGGACCTGAAGTACTCAATAACTTTTTGGGGGAGGTAAAATGCAGGCCACATAGCCCTCCGCCACAAGCTGGCTCCACGATTGTGGATTGTACTGTATGGTTGTACGGCGATGACGATCCACGTTGTGAGGAAAGTCAGCAGGAAAGCCACCCAAACATAGCGTGTGATCGACTCTAGGGAGCCGGGATTGATTTCGCGCACGTTCATCCCAAAGACCGACTGTTCAATTAGTAAGCGCTCCTATTCGTGTTATACATCCAAACACGTACAGCAGTAAAACTGGCGGGCAAGAAGATCATGGTCAGGTATGATATCTGCAGAAGGCATGAGCTCTGTCAGTGCATATGTAACATGTAGCTACCAGCACACCTGTTTCATCGCTGCAGAGTCTCGAAGGGTCGCCTTCGTTAACGTGGACGTTTGACGACTATCCTCGATGTTTACAGTGGCGAATGCCAAATCTGTAGCATTCTTTAACCGACTGATGAACATCGAACATCTCTTGTGTAACCTGTCGATTTCGGAACGGAGGTTCTTGCATTCTCGTTGCATCAACTCTTCTGTAGTACCCTTATTGTCTGAATTTTCCATTGCAGGGTTTGGAGACTCCATAACAAATGTGACCGATAATTCGAAATCATGAAGGAGGGTTTGATACTGGAGGAGGTGCGCCTGAAGGCTGTGAAGGGTATAGTTGAGGTCGAACATGGCGGTGAAGTCGTGGCCGTTCAAGATTACCTCCTGGACATGATGAGCATTCCCCACAATTCGGACAGATTGCGTACATACCACGTTCTTGATGCGGTTGTACAGCACTTCGAATGCCTCATCCCACGCATACAGCGCGTACCACAAGATTGCCAGAAAGAAAAAGGTTGGATCTTCAGATGCGTTGAATATTTTATTCCAGTAGACACTTCCACCTGCGCGTTCCATAACCTGATGCAAGCGCTCGGCAGTAGTGCGATCATGGAGCACAGGATGATACGATATGATTGTAGCGGAATCCTTGCTTCGAATCATATGAATTGCCAGAAGATCGATGAGAAGGAAATGGACATGTTCGCCTATGAAAGGTCTCAGAGTCTCAGACAAAACTGTGCGGTAAAAGCAAGTGCGAATTACCGTCGTCTAACTGAAGGGGTAACATGACATCTATGGTATCCTTCCTATTCCGTTCTGTATGTTTTGTGATGAGAAATGGTCGACTATGGAACAAATGACAAACTCGTACCGGATAAGCTAGGACTTGATTGTGACTTCTCTTTCTTCCCCGTGGTCCGAATAAAAGGAAGGATGACTGTGATATCTACCCGGAACAACAGATTAACAACCCCTGGATCAAAAGGTAGTCATCAAACGTACGGTCCCCCTCTCCATGTCGAACGTCTTCCCGGTATCGCGAAGGTATCCAGTTTGTGGAGGATGAAAAGAAAAATGGCTCGATGTTATACCTAAAAAAGGAAATTTCAGTGCCGAAGTTGAAGCCGACCCGGGAGTACGAACTTTGTCCCCAGCATCTTCAAAACGGATTCCGACAAGTTGTCCACGAACAACGCTCTAACGGAGACGTTTTCCCGAACCTGCTTGTCATGCATTAACAAGCTTGGTGAGATGGGGTAAGTACAATACTTTCCTCCTTCTTTAATTTTGACCAAAGTTCGTCTTCATTCTCAACGCGATGCAGCTTAAGTGTTTTGAATTGACCGTCGTTCATTACGTCAATGCCATATATGATGCACGGGTCGCTGCGCGGACATCGTTTTAACATCTCACTTCGTCCCACTGGAGTTGCAGTCCAGTTGCCGAAAAGTTCTTGCGGGTATCCACGCCATTCATGTTTGCCCTTTTCAAATGGCGGGTCAGAGGATGAAAGGTCGGTGTTGAAATCTACCCAAGGCCATGGTCCCGAGGGTGCTGCATGACGATATCTGAACCAAATCAAGGACACATCCTCCTGAATATTTGAAACGCGAGAAAGATGGAAACTCTTACACTGGTACTGGAATCGAACCTGTCCGCCTGTCTAATGCCGTACTTGATGCGTTGCTGTGTGGCATAGGGAACAGGTAGTAAAGGTCTACTTAGTTTGTGCCTACTGGACTGGAGGGGGTGTATGTAGCTGTGGGCAAAATGTTGGCGCGCATAAAATACTCATGCACTAGCGCTGGTACCGAGTCGCACACTGGTTCGGATCTCCGTCAAATTTAGCCGGTCAGCGCTCATTGACCAAGTTATTGACAGCTCGAATTAGACTAACTGGTTTGCAAGAACGCTCAGGTGGTCTAGCAATGAGGCCAGGTTCGCTACATGTCTACATATCCGCACCTCATATTACCTAATGGATCAAGGAACCTGCAATTATGCGAAATCACACTTCTGACATGCTTCTGCCTCATTGATGCTGAGAAAAAGTGTGTTGGCTGTAGTACTGCGGGTGCGGTAACATCCAAATTTGCTTTCGTACCCAGCCTGGTCCGACAGCGCCACCGTCAATAAACCTCGTGCTTGCCGGGCCTTGTTATGTCACCTCACACGGCCGCCCACTCTCCAGCCATGCTCTCGACCAGTGCTTATGAGGAGTCACACAAAAGTTTGAGGGAAGAGCTGCTAATACACATTGGTAGGGACAGTAAAAGGCCTTTGCAGACAAGTCAATGTAACAGTCAGCTGGCGATTTTAAAGACACGGTTGGTTCCAAAAGACGATCCGACATCAATGAATGAATATGAATATCTGAAACATGGGCGAACGCTCCGCCTCTTGGATTACAGGCTCCGACCTTAATAAAACATTTGAGTTAATAATAATATACTCTGCTCATCGCGGTCCTTCATCTGAACCACATCCGCTGCGGCAAAAAAAGACCCGGATACAAAAGGTCCCAAAAACCCTGGGCCTGAAGCTTGAAGCCTTCAGAGGCCAAACCTAAAGACAGCGAAAGCGATTTGAAATCAAACATAATGGCCCTCATCACACGGAGATATATCCAAGTGACCGCTACGACGCGGGCGGCAGTTGCACTTAGCAGTAGCCGAGAAGACACAAGCACCTGCATAATGCCATGCAACATCGGCCACTTGCACAATGACAATGAGATGCTCACCAAACAAAATCGTGCACTCATCAATGATTGATCATGCGTGTAGCACGTGCCTCGGCAGCGAATTTTTGCTGTCTGTCGATACTATATCACACATTCAGATGCTTGATCGCACCCCAAAAGGAGTCATACCCCAGGCTGGGTAGAGAAGGTGCATTCGCAATAACTCCTTTTCATATCGTATAACGCCTTAATTAGAGCCCCCGAGGTAGAATGGCGAAAAGCTGACACCACGAATCCCGACACATGGTAACATTCTACCTAGCGTCAATGCAATGGTGCACACCATAGGCACGCTCCTCGATAATACGCAATGCAATAAACGGTTCCACGACAAGGATTTCGTAGGCTGATCTAGGAAGCTATGGAAAACTTAATCGCGATACTGGTGAGCCCGAGTTACCTTCACGGCGCGTCGCCATAAGCTGCACTGGCCGTCCGAATGTGCGAAGCGTTCACTGACAGTAAACACAGCCAAGGAATTACGGATGTTCGCCCGTTCGCCAACGTTTATGAGGAGGACCACAGGCCTGCTATATCGGTGCGACATAGACACCAAATTGAAGGCCGAGAGGAAAATCGACGAGATCATGAAATACACCCTGAGGCGAGGCTGATGACCATTCCGCCCAATCTCTTCACGTTCTCGGCGTGGATGCACGCATGCATGCCGTACTTCATAACAATGCTAGCGTCGATCGTCAGCTGGCTCGGAACGAGGGCGTTCTCAAAGGCGACTGAGTAGACACCTGCATTGCCAAGCTGCTGAGCGTGCCGCCAATTCAGGTCGACCACTTGGGGAAGCTATCTGCGCTTCGCTGGATCCTGTTAAAAACGTGAGGGGACCTTGGGCGTACGCACTATGAGGGAGCCGATCGGATGGTCGAAAGGGGGGCCTAGCACTACTCGGTCGGATTCTTGATTTGCTGATATGATAGAACATTGTTCACTGCCTCATCCAAATATGGATTTTCATTATTGAGAATAATATTGCTGGTCGGTCAAATCCTATTCAATAAATGATGTTCTTGTTTGTCCACCCGTGGGATCGGTATCTTCTGGAGGTTGACTGATAAGATTGAACCGAGCCTTGATGGACCACTGTGACAAGTTACCTGGCAGTTCGTCTGTAGCAGAGTCACTGGAGCCTCACTCACGAGCATTGGGGTTGATGGCTCACCTTGGACAACCTTTCGGTTCATTTTTGCTAGCGCAAAAACGCGTCAGAGAATACAACAGGATCACGTTGGACGATGGCTTCACTGCACAAGTCAAAGGCATAACTTCCATCGACACATGGAGGTCGGTACCATAGAAATACTACAGGTCCATGTCACGATTCACCTGCTGCACAAACCGAAAATTTTCGCTCGCGAGCACTGTATTTGAGCGGCCATAGTTTGCCTTGAATAGCCTCTTGGTGCATGTTTGCTAAAGAGGATCGCGCCGGATCGTGACATTAATGCGGTTTAGAGATATGGCTTCTATGAGCTACACGCTGGAGCCTGCCGTCAAGACACTAGAGATAGTGTAGCTGCATGATGGATAGTGTAGACCTGTTGAATTCGGGAGAGCAAGGCTCAGCAAGCACATCTTCCAAGAAATCCACATGCAATTACGGTCGATATCGAGCCTACTATCAGGCTGAAAATTTTTCAACGCTATCATACTATTTTTGTCTGAGACTTACCCTGGAAATTCGCCATCTGGTCAATTGGAATTAGATATTACACACGGTACATTCACTAGTTGCACAAAAGACACAACGATGAGATTAATTGACACACTAGTGTAGCCCAGAGGCAGATCAGGCATATCTGTTGCTGCTTACTCTTTCAAATCAGGATAGGGTTGGCCCATACTTCGAGCCAGTGCAAGCAAGGAGTGACACAAATTTACGGCGTATGCTCGATCGGGCTTCCAAATAAGTCGCGGCAGCATGCGTCCACCATACGACCGAGACTATACCAAACAAAGATGACAGTAGTTCGACGGGTCAAAACTCTGATCGGTAAATATAATGGCTCGTCCGAGACTATACCGAACAGAAATACGAAGTTCTATGATGCCAGCTCCAGACTGATAGTGAATACAGCTATGAGCATCCTAGACTATACTGCCCGAACGACACTCAATACCGGGTTTGAGCTTGCTTCATGTTGGAAATGGCCAGTCTGGACTCTGTACATCTCTGGGCGTATCTGTGATCGGAAAGTTCCGGGCAGTTGAAGGTGTATCTGCTATCACAGCCACCCTGCCGCGTCTACGCCACCGTATCTCATCATCCTTGAGCTTGCCGTCACAGTTCTAGTCATTTGGAAGGAGGACATGGCAGCTGTAGACTGGAAACGACATGGTGCTGTGGTTGACAAGCAGGTAGGAAATAAGCAAACAGAGGACAGACAGGCAAGCGAGACTCTTAGAGATGCCGCATAGTGACCATTAATATTCCGAAATAGATCGGCTCGCTCTATCTTTCAATCCTATGTTAACTGACGTTATTTAGTAAAGGTTGGACCCCGTGCGCAACTTAGCTCCGGCAGAACTGGCAAAATAGGTGTGTACGACATTCCTAACGATGACATCAATCTTACTATCTCGTCCATCCTCACCATTGTAGAGATCATACCGTTGCGTGGATTGTGTCGTACCCAGATTAGAGAATGTGCGTTCTACTTCGCCTGCATGTTCTCGTCATAGCAAAGACACTGAGTGGGTTAATTTCGAAATTGCTTGAAAGGTTTTTCCACCAAGAAAGGCCGTCCGCTTGGCCGCTAGCAAATGGAGCTACTGACTGATATAGGCCTGCAGGTCATCATGTCCACTTTGCAGCGTGCGACCTACCTGCGCAACAGCAAGATCTCTGCGAGTCTGGAATACTGCCAGATTCTGCCAACTCCCTTCGCGTGAGTTAACTGCCGTAGATCAAGCACAACCAGTTTTGCCAAACCGATTGGCACGACTCCCAAGTTCTGCCAACAAAAATACCACGAATGCCGCCATCTTCTCTGCGTCCTGCTCGTAACTCTTGACGCCAATCTCGCTTGCTCATTCCTGGGACCTGCAGCCTAGCTATGCCGTCGCTGCCGGTTGATCTCATTTTTGGAACAGCACATCAAGGTCTAGCGCCAGATCCCTGTCGCGCCAGTCAGCATCTCCTCCCTCACTGGCTCTCCCCACCGATCCTCCTTGATAGTTATCGATATTGGTGTGGCCTTCATATCCTCTCTCCAGTCATCCCACTGCATCCTGGATTTTTCTTCTTTTCCTAGCTTGCAGCTCCACCTGATACACTACCCTACTATCCATGTTCCCGTCATGTTGGTAGTCATTGCATCCTCATCTCACGCAGCAAACCAAAGACCCGAAAGCCCAAGTTTTTTCATGATGAAAATTTCATCATATGTAAAGGACAAAACGCTGTCAAAATGCTACAATATACACCCGAGTTCTGCACGAGGGAAACGATGACACCAGGCTGAAGAGGCCAAATAGTACCCCAAGGAATGCGCTCGACCGTAAACGTCGATGCGGTGACTCCAATTGAGGTCACGGTGTCTGTCGGTGCTGATGTCCGTAGGCTGTAAGAAGTGAAAGCGCGAGGCGGCAATGGATGGCAGAACAGTGCAGAACAAGCGGTGAACTTCAACTTAGGAATACTTGGCGAGGAAATATGCTTATTGAGCGGTGGTTGAGGTCTTGCCACTACTAGTACTGATTAGTAATTACATGTGTTCAGGGACTCGTTGTGGCCGAGCCGGTTTTCAAACTCGGCTACGATAGGGCTGTTATCCTTCTTCGGCTGTCCTGTTCGGAAAGGGCACCCCCTTTTTGATTAACTGTGGAACGATGGGCTAGCTATGTCATATTGTAATTTTCTCACTTTGTCTTGAAGCGAACAAGATGGAAGGGTATAAAAGCCCGTCATCCTTCTCTTCTACCGCATCTAACCATTCGCCAACTTTGCTATGGAGGTCAAATCAACAGCCGTCAAGCAGCACTCTCAGCACTTGTCTTCGGATAGGACTTGGGTGGACCTTTTTCCATCCACCATACGTCCTTACCTCTATCTGGCACGAGTTCACAACCCTGCCGGAACACTCTTGCTGTTCTATCCATGCGGTAAGCAGCTGTTGTAGCGTTAGTTTTTTTTTGTCATTGACTTGAGCAATAACAATTAGCATGGTCGGTCACCATGGCTTGCTACGCTCATGGCGCCCCCGTCTCGACGGTGTGGACATATGTTGGGTTGTTCCTTGCTGCCGCCCAAGTGTTCCACTCCGCTGGCTGCGTGATCAATGACATGTGGGACAAAGACGTTGACGCTGCCGTTCGTAAGTGTTACATTCAGTCAAGTGGTGACTCTCAATAACACTTGCACTCTCAGCGCGAACAAGCACGCGGCCCTTGGCTTCGGGTGATGTCTCAATGTTCGGGGCATTCGCCTTCCTTATCCCACAGCTGGCTCTTGGCATCTGGTTGTTGATGCAGTTGAATGAATACAGGTGTGTGGTTTGTAAAAAAAAAACCGTTGGTTTCCATATTTATCATTTCTATTTTTTTTTTTCAAGCTTGCGACTTGGACTTTCGTCCCTGGGCCTGGTGGTGTTATATCCTGCCATGAAGCGTGTGACCAATTGGCCGCAGGCAGTGCTTGGTATGTTATACGGAGTTGCAAGACCAACGCGGTGATTGATGACATCTGATAGGCTTGTGTTTCAATTGGGGAGCACTACTGGGCGCGGCTTCCGTTGTTGGAGCAGTTGACTGGCATGTGTACATCCCTCTGTACCTCGGCGCTGCCAACTGGACCATTGTGTACGACACTTCTTACGCTCGTCAAGTAAGTATCTTCTGTTCCTTGCGCGTTCTTCGGCTCATCACAGCGAAATTAATTCAGGACAGAGATGAAGACGCTAAATATGGTGTGCGCTCGACCACGATCATCTTTGGAGATCAAATCCGGCCTATTCTCGCCATGTTCTCCGCCGTTGTTTGTTCTCTGGTGTCGTACGCCGGATACTGCAACGGACATGGCTGGCCATTCTTCTGTGGTGTTGCCATGGGCGCACTTCACCTCGCCCGACTCCTCGCCAGGACAGACTTTGAAAACAAGGAGAGCTGCGATGCTACCCTCCTCAGCAATGCTTGGTTCGGCTTCTGGGTTTGGGCTGGAGCTTTCGCCGACCTTCTTCTCAAAACCCAGTAATTCTAGATGCGATGACTTCTTTTCTTTCTCTTCTGATTTTTTTATTTGCCATACACATTATGATGCGACCATGAAATATATTTTCTGGTGACGACCACTGGCATGTCTCTCCATGAGGCCAAGCATGAAATAAATAATAATAAGAATGGCACCATCTTGTGAGGCACCCGAACTCAGACATTCTACGCGGAAAATTCAACTAAGTGGTGCCTTTGTTACCCTTCCGAAAATTTGAAATGCTTCCGCTTTACAAAGCTCCTAAGAACCAAGTACGTACATGCAGCGTAACGTACTTAAATAAGGACGTAATGCGAAGATCTCGCAAACCTTGTCAGCTGCAAATTTGTCTTTGACTTACCCGAGTAGTGAGAACAACGGCGTCAAAAACCTTGAGCTCGCCAACGCCAACGATGATTTAGAGGCGATGGTATTGATGCAAATGGCACGGTCAATCTTGCAATTCTGCTTATGAGCGTACAATGTACCACCATGGTGCTAATTCAAGATGTATCATGCCATTCGAGCCTGCTCCAGTTCAACCAGCGATATGATAGCATTCTCGACAGCGAAAGTCTATATTTAGATGGGAAAGTGAACCATATTCTATCATATCAGCAAACAATCAAGAGTCAGACGAAGTAATATTAGGCCCCCCTTTCGACCATCCAATCAGCTCCCTCATAGCGCGTACGCCGACAGGTCCCCTCACGTTTTTAGCAGGATCCAGCGAAGCGCAGATAGCTTCCCCCAAGTGGTCGACCTGAATTGGTGGGACGCTCAGCAGCGTAGCAATAGATACCAACGCAGAAGGCGTCTGCTCGGTCGCTTTTGGGAACACACTTGTGCCAAGCCAGCGGATGACGGACGCTGGCATCGGTACAAAGGACGGCATAGCTGCATGCATCCACGCCGAGAAAGTAAAGAGATTGGCCGGAATTGTCATCGGCCTGGTCTCGGGGTCGTATATCATGGCTGGACAAGATAAGTCAGCGTCTAGAAGTATCCGCTCGGGGATGCATCCTCACAAGGCCGAACGTGCACTGCCCGATACTGTGGATGATCTTTCATGATCTCGTCGATTTTGCTCTCGGCCTCCAGTTTGGTCTCTATGTATCGCACCGATATAGCAGGCCTGTGAAAGTCCTCCGCAGAAACGTAGACGAACGGGCGAACATCCGTAATTCCTTGGCTGGGTTTACTGGCGGTGAACGCCTCGCACACACGAATGGCTAATGCAACATATGACGATGCGCCGCCGACGTGAAGGGTAACTCAGGCTCACCAGTATCGCGATTAAGTTTGTCGTAGCCTCCCAGATGACGTGCTTCGACTGGGGTGATCCCCGTGATGGACTTGAGCAAGCCCACGTAGTCCTTGTCGTGAAACAGTGTATTGCGTCGTGTATTATCGAGCAGCGTGCCTATGGTGTGCACGACTGCGTTGACGCCAGGTAGAATATCAGCATATGTGTCGGGATTCATGGCGTCAGCTTTTCGCCATTCTACCTTGTGGGCTTTAAGCGGTGTACAAGATAAAAAGGACATGTTAACGCACCTTCTCCACCCAGTCTGGGGTATGGCCTTTTGGAGTGTGGTAAGGTGTCCCAGATGAACTGAATATGAAATCATGGTATCGACAGATGGAAGGAACGAGTCCAGACATACCTAATACTGGTGACCCCCATACCCCGCGCAAGAGCAGCCTTGCACACCGCAGAACCTATAGTGGAACTGGATCAGGCCAACAACCGGACGAAATTGACGAGGAAGCTCACCGACGAACCCATTACCACCCACAACAAGAATTTTCTGGGCAATAGCGGACATAGCGTCAAGACTGGTCCTGCAGGTAAGTATAACAGCAACCTTAATTTGAATTTCAAACTGTTCAACCTAAAAATATCCAACCAGAAAGTCGCACGTCGGTATAAACCTGCACATTTATGTAATATAAGGAAAATTGAAATTCCAGGGAATTACCTTGAAATTTGTACTAACGGACGTCGTACCGACTCTCGTAGTACGTAGGGCTGTACTGGACCGTCAACGTTTCAACAGTACGTGTTCCTTCGCTGCCTATATGATCTAGGAGAGACCATGCTCGTGTGCGCACACCATGCATAATATTACAATTGTCCCTGCAATGATTCTGAGCTCCAAATCAACCGTCAAGCTACTAGTAGCGTTGCGTAGTCTCCTCCAGAGTGATAGTCGTTACTTCAAAACATAAGTACTTGGAATTTATTTTGTCGGAGTCGACATATGTAATGGCCATGGGCGTCCAAGTGGTGGGAGCCGGAGAACCTACTATGGAAAGTTGAAATGACCTTCGAGCCTAGGCTTACGATGTGAACGATACCACTAAGCTATCGATCGATGCAGTGATTATCATATACTTATAGTACGTCTGTGTTGTTTCACTTGGTGTTTCATCCTATTCTATTCCTTTGAATCCTGTTTCGCAGATCGTGACTGCGCAGATAGAGCTGCGTTTGGGTTCCTTGCGCCAGCCAGCAAGCTCAAGTGTCACTCGTATTCTTATACTTAGTGCATACGTCCCACAACACGACATCTCCGCAGCTACCAAGTGCTCACCTTGACGGTAACAACGTTGACTTCTCGTGATCAACGCACATGTCCGAGGCCAGCTCATACCATCATGACTACCACGGTCATCCAGACACGCGCTACTATGCTGATCCCGGGGAGCACCCCTCTCAGGCTAGCTCCGTACACAGAAACAGATACAGTACTGGTCCCAGGCGAGTGCGAGACGTATCCTGGATCAGCCAACAGCCTCCATCCCCAACTAATGACCCATATGCGCGATGGCACCCGCCTCCATCCGACCCCGTAGACTTCCCCACACCTGTGTTTCCAGACCAACCGCTCCCCATGGCACATTCCTCCCCCATGATGGAACGTGCTCCGTCGCTTGGCATGAGAATGCCTTCCCCGATGATCGGAGAATACATGACTGTGGAGGACCCTGAGTATGACGAGGAAGAGTTACCGGAGGACAACGAGGAGATTGACTTTGATTTCTCTAACGCTCCTCAACACCACACAGACGGGCTGAAAGGTGCACGGCGCTGGGTCGGGGGCTTCGTCAAAGGCCTCCGCAAGTTCCCTGGACTGCGCAAGCCCCCGCACAGACCATCACCATCGAATGACTTTGTACAGCCGTCACTTGGTGCTCATCATGACAATGATGTGCAATTTCCAACTATAGCGAGCCTGCGTTTGCGCCCACTCACACCCACTGGAATAGCGCAGACTGCAGAGTTGATGAACATGCCCATGCCCCAACCCCCGTCGTACCCGCAACCATCGCCACAGCATTATGCATATCAGCAACAGCCACATGTGCATAGACCACCTCCCCCAGCAGCGTCATCGCCAGTATATGCCCCTGGAGCGGATGTTGTCCCTCAAGTCCTCTCAACAGTTGATGAGCGCTCAAGTGAGCAAAATGGAACACACGAGACACATCCGCACTCACATCTCTCTGCTGACCATAACCATACTCATTCTCCCCGTGCTCATACGCATGCCCAGCCACATTCACGTTCCCATTCACGCTCCCATTCAAATTCCCATTCGCATTCACGTTCCCATTCAAATTCCCATTCACAATCTCATTCTTTAACTGTTCAACCTGTCCACCCCAACACAACTTTCACCGTGACTGACTATGTCACTGTTCCCTCGCCTCAGCATTTCGCTCCTCCCCGACCTACGCCCATCAAGCGCTTTCTACATAACCTCGACCAGCTCCCCTGGGTTGAGCACGAGCAGATCGTCGATGCCTACTTCCCCGGCCGTTCCTCCCGCCACCGCCGCCACCCAGAATCGCCCGTGTATGAAGGAAAAAAACCTGTAGCATCGTGGTACAACAAGCGGCAAAATTCCCTCCCGCAGGGGATGGGTGTTGGACCGAGCAGCGCGTCCCTATTGTATGGATGGCCGCCACAGATGCAAAAGGCTTACTCGCACCAGGGAATGGTCCATCCACAGTTCCCAAACGGGTATGTACCTGTACAACCCGCGTTTGTATACCCTGCTACTACCTTCTCTCTGCCGCCGAGGATGTATTAGGGATCCGGTGCGAGTCACTGTCGTTTTTGGGTAAATACGATGTGTCGTTGATCACCCATAGTTGATTGAGTTGTTTCAGGATCATTGTGGAATATGCCGGTCAACCTACTGTTATTTTCGATTGGTTTGATACACGCATGTTAATCACTTTAACAGTACTTTGAATTGATTGCTTTTTAGACTGATGACATCTGAGAGGAGAATACCGATCCATATTCTTCTGGTCCCGCATTAAACTGCACCTTAGGGGGTGCATTCACACTTGTATGGCTATCGATCGTACAGAACTACAACGAAGAGCCTAAGAGAGTCATACTGAATGAAAATATTTTGCATCGTGTACTTAGTTTACTTGCAGTGGGACGGCCCGGTGCTTCCCGGATATAGCGAGATCCTAAAATTTGGACTCGAGGCTCGATGTACTAAGTATCGCGTTTACCAGGAGCTAGATAATCGGGCACCGACTCCTCTTCGCTGAACAAGAGCTTTGCACCTAGAGACGTACGCACCTCCACGATGGTCGTAGAAGCGCACCATCACAGATCAACCCTCAAGCAGGTTCATCTAAACTTTTCATTCATTCAAAATCACATCTCATCTAATCTTACTACAGAAAAACAAACCCTTCAAATCTCATCATGCCACTAAATCTGCTCTCAAAGACATCGCAAAAGGTGCGCTTCTCCAATCATTCACTTGCTGATTTTGATCTCAGTCTTTCTGCCCATTTTTTTCTTCCCTCGGACAGGTCGCACTGCTCGCCAAAGCACAAAATCTCCGGCAGTAAGCACTGTCACACAGGCTCGCCTCAACAGGCGCAACACACAAAAGCAAGTTCAGGCCACTAAACGCGCCTCCCTCATCGCTGCGACCCGTATCTTCAGCGGCATCGATGGCGCCCCACGCATCGTCGCCATCATCCCCCTTTCCGAAGACATCGACACCAAAACATGTATCCAAGCCCTCGGAAAATGCGTAGATGAAGAGATCCACGGGATAAACGAGAAAAAAAACATATGGACCATGAAGTTCGTCCCTTCAATTCCTTCATCTCACACTGATCGAACCTCACACACAGAACATCCCGATTCAAAACGTCCCTCCAATTCCTCCCCGTACCCTTCGCTCGCCCATTCGCTGCTCTAGATGCAGCCCGCGCCGCAGACTATACGCTCCTCCTGCTCTCCCCGACCATCGAAGTTACCCCTGCAGGTGACACCCTCCTCCGCATGCTCCAAGCACAAGGCCTCCCTACAGTCATCGCAGCCATCCCGCCAACGACCACGGAATACATCGATGCAAAGGCCAGACCAGCAGTACTCAAAAGCCTCCTCTCCTTCATACAATACTTTGATCCCACTCAGCGCCGAGTGTTCGATCTCAGTGCGCCAGCAGACTCACTCAACACCCTGCGAGCCCTCGCAGAGGGGTGTCCTGGCGAGGTCAAGTGGCGCGCAGGGCGGCCGTGGGTGGTAGGTGAGAGTGTGGAACGAGGAGAGGGCGGAGTGTTGAAGGTGACGGGTGTCGTTCGTGGGGGAAGACTTAGCCCCGATCGGCTCGTGCATATTCCTAACCATGGAGATTATCTAGTTTCGAAGGTGAGTCATTGGCGGGTGGATCAATCGGTTTGGTGGATTTAAAATGGCTGTAGATTATGTCTGCTCCACTCCCTCGCACGAAGCATGCTAAGCCTGGCGGCATGGATGTGGAAGCTGAGCCTGTGCTCCTCGCTGAACGCGTCCCATCCTCCGCTGACTCCCTAGTGAGCACGAACGTTGCAGACGATATGGCGAACGAACAAACATGGCCGACGGAAGAGGAGATGGCGGGTGCACTGCAAGGCACTGGGGAGGGTGAGGTACCAGATGCAAAGAAAGGCACGACGCCGAAGCGTATCAGGCGCATTCCTAAGGGTATGACTGAGTATCAAGCTTCGTGGATCGTGGATGAGAGTGAGGATGAAGACCAGGATGAGAACCAGGACGGGGAGGAGCAGGGAGGAGGGCGAATAGATGAGGACGAGGAGATGGTACTCGATGATACGCTGGACATGGAAAGCGAGCGCAAAAGCGTGGTCGCGTTCCAAGAACTTGACATGGAAGAAGAACAAAAGCAGTACGTCCTCTTCTTTCCCAACTTGTTCTTTCGCAAGAGTGACATTTGTTGAACCAACCAAGACTTACATCGTGGCGCAAGCGCTCCCAAGAAGAACAAGACGCCCAAGCTTTCCCAGATGAAATCGATACCCCACAAGATATCCCTGCACGTACACGGTTCGCGCGGTTCCGTGGGCTTCGATCGCTCCGCACGAGTCCGTGGGACCCGTATGAGAACCTGCCTAGCGATTATGCACGGATATTCGAATTCGAGGACTTCAAGCGTACCGAAAGGGACATGTGGCACGAATTGGAGGATAACGGGATTGAGGTTGGAAGTTTCCCGCTCATTACTGTCCAAGTAATCGCTAAAAATTACTGCAGCCCGGAAGGCGCGTAACAATCTTTATTGAGGGTGTCTCGCCCGAAGCCAGCGTGCCCTCCGAGTCGCCGTTTGTAATATACGGATTGTTGAAACACGAGCACAAGAAAACAGTCCTACACTTTACCGTACAGCGGAACACAGAGTGTGAAGGTTCTGTTAGATCAAAGGTCCGTCGTCTGTTGGTCCTTTTCCTACTTAGTCACAACTGAACTCCCCAAAGGACCCCCTGATCCTGTGTTACGGACCCCGCAGACTACGCGTCAACCCCGTGTACTCTCACCACACTCGTGGCGGCGGGAAAGGCGCAAACAACGTCCACAAATTCGAGAGGTTCTTATGGCACGGCACTACGACTGTCGCGAGCGTCTACGCACCAATCATGTTCGGGAAGCAGCCGTGCATGCTCCTACGTGAGACGCAAAATCCACAAAGTGCGCCCGTTCTCCCATCGGAGAGACGATAAGTGATTGACTAATTGAAACGAACAGCGCCGGAGCTCGTGGCGATGGGAACGTTCATGAATCCTGATACTACACGTATCATCGCGAAGCGAATCATCCTCACGGGCCACCCGTTCAAAGTGCACAAAAAAACCGCTACAGTGCGGTACATGTTCTTCAACCCAGGTTTGTATTGTTCCTCTTCTTTGTTCTTTTCCCTGTGCTCACACATTCTCTCTGGCACAGACGACATCCAGTATTTCAAGCCTATTCAGCTGTTCACAAAATATGGGCGGACGGGACATATCCGGGAGTCGCTTGGGACGCATGGGTATTTCAAGGCGCATTTCGATGGGCCTATCAATCAAATGGATACGGTGTGTATGTCGTTGTATAAGCGCGTGTACCCACGGTGGAGCGAGAATTGGGCGACGCTTGGTGCGAGCAGCGGGAAGGGTGATGAGATGGAGGAGTAAGTGGCAACTTTTGGTTCTAATTTTGTGGGTAGGACTGTTTTCGATGTCGAATTGCACCTATGCTTTGGAATTTGTAGCAGCAACTGGGGAGTTCTTTCAGCAAGTGTACAGCGAGATGACCGAACCTTGTCCAGCGCGCTTTTCAAATGGAAACTTCAGACGACAGGTGCGTCAAACTGGTAATCATATTCATGTATGTGCTCCACTCTCAGACCGGCAGAGTAACCATCCGATGCACTGCCAAGCATAGTAGCATCAAACATCATGAAAGAGATCTGCTCTTGCTGAGAATAATGACTAGCCGCGGTCTGTCGTGAAACACACCCATCCATTGTCCCCAATTTTCCGCTTAATCCACTTGCCACACCACCGTGACCTGTGAGGATGCTGGGAAGCTTATGGTCGCCAATACATGGAGTAATGCAAACCTCCCATCGGAAGGGTAAGTGTAATCACCATCCGCGTGATCAAGCTTCAAGAACAACACAGGCAGTCAACTCACAATTGCAGAATCTCACCTACTGATGTCCCTAACGTCCTTGCGCACAAGGTCAAAATAGCAAATTACTTGGGACGGCAGAAACATGAAAGCAGTACATAATAAACCAACTCCCTGAAAGTCTTGCGGGTCTGAGGGGAAGTAACAAAGTAAAGAAGCTATACATGGGAAACAAGATTGGTCCAGCAGGGTGCTTATAACCTTAAGCTTGTGATCGCAAGCTGAAGGATATAAGCACCAGTACGACGAGGCGTGCTGCTGCGTATGAAACTAGAAAGGGAAATGAAATCAGCTCGATTTTGAGGCCAGGACGAGAACTGTGAAATGTTCGCACGCCATGGTGTCTTCTGCACCTGCGTCGGGAACGCAGAATTCTAGGCAAGTCAGTGAAGTGCCCCGAACACCATCCTACAGAGGCAGACAGTCATGCCCAATTGATGCCCACCATCGTGTTTGTTAGACATCGGGTAGCAATGTGGCGTTCGTAGAACGTTCACACGGTAGAGTCGATAGTGTTGAATAAACTTAGAGGCTCGAACGAGATAACTGTCCGAACTAAAGTTATATTCGGGGGGGGGGGTGAAAGATCAACTACCCTACCAGTAGATATACGTCGGTTTATATACTGTAGGGTAAGAATACTATGGAATACGAAGGAACGAAGGTAAATGAGTATCTAAAGAGAGTGATGGGTGTTAAAATTGGTTGTCATCATCAATGATCAGATGATGACTTTTTGACGAGCGTTACATACGCCCTCCAGGTCCCCTAAACGAGGGGACCTTTCTTCAGGTGATGTGAGTTCCGTTAGTCATCGCGCGCTGGCCCCAAGGACGCAAAGGCAGCTGATAATAGTACTAGGGTTAGTACGTTGACGATTAAATTACTAGCGAGAAGAAATCTACCGAAGACATCCTCGGTAGTGACACCATCAAGATGACCAGTCTGTTCAAGGTCAAGTTGCTCAGCGGCAGCGATAATTTCTTCAACATCAGGGCCTGGGTCGATGGGGGAAGTAGCTGGAGCAGGGGTTGGTGCAAGGATAGTGTCAGCGTTCCTCGTCACTTCTGCAATGACTTGTGCAGTGGTCCTGAGGACAGGACGGGTGTCGGGATAAAGTTTAGGACAAGTTGGACGATGGTTAGGCTGGGATTGAGCACGATATGGGCTTCGAGGTACTCTTTCAGGGGAAGAGGGCCTTCGAGAAGGACAACGATGGTCCAACGAGAGATTACGATTACGAGGGTAGTACCGGCCGTTGTCGCGAGAGCGTTCAGCACGTTCGGCACGAACGAGCTGGTCAAACACGTGCGATTCCTTTCGGGTGGCCAGCTCCTCTAAGGGACGATGGGCAAGGTAAGCGGTGGAGCGAGAATTAACTCTTTGAGGGCGCTTACTGGCCTGTGCCTCAGCACGAAAGAAGCGCGTAAACGCGCCGAGGGCGTCAGAGTCGTGCTCGCACTGATGGGGAGGACGATTACGCCCTCCCCTACCTCTATGGTAACGTCCAGGACGTCCTCAACCAGACCGTGACGGTCTGGGAGAATTGGCATGCTCTCCAGGCTCTGTCCTGATCGGTGGCTCGTCAACGAGCATGTCGACTTCAGAGGGAGTTAGGGACCTGGGATGCATGGAGAGATGAAGAGGCAGTGGGTGGGGACAAGTCTTGCCTTGCCATCTCATTAAATATGCAGGATCAAGTTCGCTTAGAGAATGCGTACCGGCTAACTCAGCTATCATTCGGTCAACAATTCCGAATACTGAGTCCCGGGTCGTAGGGGGCGTATCAACGGTACAAACGGGGATAGTGCTTGATGAAGTCGAAATTTTCCTCGGCAAGTGAGAGATGCCTGGGACGCCGAGCGCCTCGAAATACTGTGTGAGAGCTTCGAGCCGAGATACTTGGTGGTAGGGGGACCATACCCTGTCACCGGTAGAGTATTCGACCTCGAAGAGGGCGTCAGTGCCAGCTCCTTGGTGGTCTACAATTCTCTTGACGGACCACTCTTCAAGGTGTCTGATGTCGGAGACCTGGTTGATCTGACGACCGGGGAACCGGCAATCGTCATTAGGTACGTGAGGACGAAGTAGACTGGCGTGGAAAGCTGGGTGAAGTCCACGTTGTTTGAGAAGCGCAGGAAGGTCCAAGAGGAACGAATTGTTCTTGTAGTCGTTTAATATCCTGTAAGGCCCTATGTACTTGGGTGCGAGCTTACGCGCTCGTCCCTTGGGCAGAGATAGGTTTCCCGTCGATAAGTACACTAAGTCTCCTTTGACAAAGGGCGAGTCTATTCGCTTACGGTTTGCGGTCGTGGTGCTTGAGACGCGGGAAGCTATAATGGAGTCGTGAGCGCTCATTATAGCATCTTTCATTCGCTGAGCGAACACACGTACTCCGGGGAACTCAGAGTTCGTGTTCCAAATGAGTGGAGGTGGCAGTCTGCCATAATTAAGTACAAACGGTGGATACTTAGTGGTCTCGGAGCATGCGGAGTTTATCGCGAATTCGATAGCAGGCAGCTTCAGTGCCCAATCCCGTTGGTTTGGTGATACCATTTGGCGTAACATTTGCGTGATAGTCCTATTGGCACATTCAGTTGCTCCGTCGGTCTGGGGGTGAAACGAAGTCGACATTTTAAGTTCAACACCGGTGAGCTGGTGGAAACGTTGCCAGAAGGTACTGGTGAATAGTGTGTCGCGGTCACTAACTATATTGGTGGGCATACCGTGGTGCTTGTATACTAGGTTAAACATGACCTCGGCGACGTCCTTAGCTCTATACGTTTGTTTAGTGGCGGCTAAGTGGACCATTGAGGTGAGATGGTCAATGGCGACCAAGATCATATCAAACACACCGAGTAGTGTTTTGGACTCAGGCAGGGGGCCAATGAAGTCTATACCGATCGTTTCCCATGGGCGTGTTGGGACTTCTAATGTTTCCAGTAGTCCATAGGGTTGGTGGTTAGACGGCTTTGAGACTTGGCACGTTGGGCAAGATTCACAGAAGGCTTGTACATCAGCGGCTATGCCTTTCCACCAAACGTTCTCGCGCAGGTAGAGAAGAGTCTTTGATGGGCCGAGATGCGCTAATATTGAGTGAGCATGAGAAATGATGATTTCTCGTACTTGCCGTGGTCCAATCTTAATATCAGGGATGCAAAGGATCCGTTTTCCCTTACTTCTTAGGTATATTCGCCCGTTGTTTACTTCAAAATTCTTGAAGGCGGCCGGGCTTTCGAGAATCTTGGCAAAGAATAAGTCCATGTCGTATTTATTAGCGATTTGTCCATGGATGTCTGCTGTTGGGTCGCCCAGTGCTATCACTTCGGTTAGATGAGGGGGGAGAGTGGTATTTGCATCTTCAAATGCGGGAGTGGGAGCATCAGGATTTGGTTGTAGGTCCTTGTTTGTCCTGCTGACATCAGCTAAGCCGGATCCTGCGTCATTTGAGTTCTGGGCTCCAGTGACGTCTTTGCTTATGTCATCTGGCTGGGCTTGTCTATGTCCTGAGTGTCTAGACCGGGTGACTTCATTGCTTACATCAGTTTGTGGGCTCATGTTTGTTGGCTTTCTTCCAGCGCTGTTTGTTCTTGCACTGGTCACCATTCCGCCCTCTAGTGATGCTGAAGGGGTACTACCCATCTTCAGTATCACTCTCTTGATTTTGGTGGCAGGTGAGTCCTTTGGTGTACGTTCAGAGGCTGACTCCTTTCCAACTTGCAGTGTCATTCCCCTACCGCTGATATCCCGGTCTACCGAGTCACCAGCCTGTAGTTGGCCTGAACGGTTGGCGTCCGTGTTGACACTCGGTCTGAGCGACCTCCTGTCGTCCGCCAGTTTAAGCGATCTCATGTCGCTCTTGGTGAGTGGTCCTTCGTTATGCTCACTCTTACTGAAGCCTCGGTCATTCGGTAGCTTCGAAATGACAAACAAATTTGTCAGGACCTGCTGGGACTCGCCGTTGTCTGGACTGGCTGAGGCATGTTGAGGGACGCCGCTACCTGGTGAGGTTGTCAGGACCTGCTGAGGGATGCCTTTTCCCTGACCGACGAGCTTCTCCGCTAGGCGCATGGAGCGTCTGTTCTCGGTCGCACCCAGAAAGAGGGGGGTGCCAGTGTACACCGGGGCGGTAACAAAGTTGAGGAGAAGTGTTCTGGGTGCGTCTTCCTCTTCTACGCTGACAAACTCACTCTGAGCCCTCACCGTACCTTTAGGCTCATTACTGTACATGCGTGACAGCGCATCCGCGAGGGTGTTATCTGCTCCAGGTAAGTACTTTATTTGGAAGTCGAACTCGCTCAATGCTTCTAACCACCGGGCTTGTCTAGGCGATAACTTGTTCTGGGTGGTGATCCACTCTAGGCCCTTATGGTCCGTGAAAACACGGAACCGAACACCAATCAGTAAGTGCCGAAAGCGTTTCAAGGACTCTACGATGGCTAATAGCTCCTGTTCGTGTACCGGGTAGTTTTGCTGCGCGGAGTTAAACTTGCCGGACCAG